GGGCAAAATCCTCCTTCGTTATTTTTTCTAATTTATTTTTTTTATTTTGTTTTTTATTCCCACGAAACGGGCAGCTGTTCCCAGACGGAGGCAAATCAGTGGGATGGAAATTGTTAAGAACACACACTTTTTGGTGATTTCTTTTTTTTATTATTATTTTTTTTGCTAGGCAGGGTGAGTTGTTTCGGAAGATGTTCAGCATAAGGTGACCCTCTCGTTCCAGAGAGGAGTTGGGGTCCTGGAGAAGAACCTCTGTGAAATAATGGTTTTGCCTCAGATTTATTTTGGACACTGGATTGGCACCAAGAGAAAAACGGTCAGGGTTGTCTGTTGAAAGATGCTTTTGAAGTTAACAGATAAATGCATCTGCTCTTACTTCTCAGAAAGCCCAGGTAGCCTCGGTGGCTTACTGAGTTTCTTTAAAAAAACCCAACCCAAAACAGCACCACATTATAGGTCAGTAGGGTAATGTCAACAGTAAACCAGCTTTATTGTAAGTAACTTTTTCAAAGTGCTTTAAATACAGCAGAGAGAGTTGCTGCCAGTTGTTTTAAAACAACGCACCCGATGAGAAGACTTGCAGGGTTCCTGCCATCTCCTGTGAAGCTGAGGAGAGTTGCTGGAGCTCATCTCTCATCTCTTAATTCTTAAAAGAACAAGATGTGCTTGGCTTCTTGGAAGAGCCAGAGATTTCTTGGATAATTGCTATCTGTATGAAGATCAGGCGCTGTGTATTTTTGCAATTTCCTTTTAATGTAGGGCATTTCACAGTACAACAAACCATTTCAGTCCCATCTCAGCTTCATTCAGAAGCCTGAGTTGAATTTGCTTGGTGTTGAGCAATTGCGGTACTGCTTTAAAATTGCAATAATGTAAAAATAATGTTGGCAGCCTGTCCTTGAACGCTGCTATGACGTATTGTGTCCATGGCAGTGTATTTTTCCTCCTTGCTTGTGTCTGTTCTTAGAAGAAAACTAGTCTACCTGTTTAATGATGGTCTAAGACTGAAGAAAATATTTTGTTTGTACTTAGTACCTTCAGGGGAACCATAATATTTATTAAAAACAAAGTCATGACAATTTGTGTATGTAAATCTACAGTTGGTGTAATATAGGCTATATTGCAGTTTATCTGAAAATAATTATGATTTAAAAACATGACTTGAGAGCAACTGTATGAAAAGATGCTAATAAATTTCTTCATCCCTCGGTCGAGGTTCTCAACTATGGTGTAACAAGGGAGGGAGCTGCAGAAGTGCTCCTATCCAAAGAGGTGTCGTGGATCTATAACACAGTGTTTCCGGAGATGGAGAATTTCACCTTTTGGTCTTTTGACTTGATGGCTTTTGAATGTATGGTTTTTGTCAGTGGTTCTGCTTGTTCTCCTGCTTTGAGGCTCCTTTCATTAAAGGAAGGAGAAGGAAGGCTTCGCTCTCTCTGCCTGTTCTCTTACCCATCTTATCCTGCGTCTAAAGTAACAATTTTGAGCTTTCCTGATGTGGAGGTTTGCCGTGCATCTGTGCCACTTGAGTTTAGCCTCTTCGCTTGCCAGTTTAAAAGAAAGAATCACGAGGGCTGAATATTGCCTTCTGAGCGGTGTATCATGGAGATAAGTAGCTGTGTTGTACTCTTTCTGCTGCCTCTTTAGCGCCTTCACGTGTTCCTGTAGCGCTGTTCTGCGGCAAGATGCCTGTGCTGAAGATACTCTCTCTTTTCTGGTTGCTTTAAATCTTCCAGCGTGAGGAGTTGGCTCTTCCTTCCCAGTGCTTGTGTTCTTGCACATGTCAGCGTTGACATCCCATTGCTCAGCTGATTTGCTCAGGATGGTGGAGCACTCCTGACTTCTTCTTTTTTTAATATTTTTTTAAATTGCCTTTTTTTTTAATCTGAAGTAGCTAGGTCCTTCTGTAGAGCTTTGTTAGGCACAGCTGAAATGTGTGCTGCTGCTGAGGGTCCACAGGCCAGGAGTCAAATGGAGTGATGGCTCTTGCTGCTATGCCACTCTTGTGAAATACCACTGTTTTGTTGTACTTTTGTGACACAGTATCTCATCACTAGAATTCATTATTTCCCCTCCTTTTTAATTCGACTTATGGCAAGCACAGCAAATGTGGCAGGTAATAATGCAGAAACAAATAGTGGAAATGAGCTTGAGAGCCTGGAGAAGAATTTGAAAGGAACACACATTATTATTTTTCTCCTCTGCTCCTTCCCCATCACAAAGATTTCGTATTTCTCTGAATAATCCAACTTTCTTTAGTATGTGGTGCTTCCAGTCTTCAAAACAGATGCTCTGTGTGTCTCAACACAACATTCAAAACTTATTCTATGTGAAGAAAATAAAAAAAATCAGATAGGCAGATAATGCCTTCTTTTCCCTCACTTCTGAGACTGGCCTTGATGGTACTGGTGTGAGCGCAGCCTGGTTGGCATCCAGGCTCCTGGCTGAATGCTTGCAAGTAAGAGTAAAACCGAGCGTGAGAGGACATTTCATTCAGTTCCTTGTGTCTGGTCTGCCACCCCACTGATTCTGGCTGTCTGGTTTTTGGTTCGTTTTACTTTTCAGGCCTGAAGTGGTAAGGACCCTGCGTTCTGAGGTGTCAGGAGATCTGCTCTGACTCTTGCAGTGTTTCTTTCCTTAATTTAGTTGGAAGATCAGAGGAGGTGGACCAGTGTGCAATTTGTGTCTGCTCTGGAAACTATGACTGCTGGGCTCTTAAATCTAGTATCAAGCTTTTGATGCTGTCATTTTTCATCTGAACAGGGCCCAAAGACTAAGCTAATACTCTTAGAGAATCGTGTTACCACATTAGAAGAACCTTACTGCCAGTGAGCTGACATTCCTTAAAAACTATCTCGCTGTCAGCAAAGGATTTCGGAAAGTCTTTTTCTGCATGGACATAGTGCAAACAACAACGACGAGTATTTTTCTTCACCAAGATATTTCACATCCATAAATCTGAACCTTAAAGCCACCTGGTCCCTGCAGTTCAGGGAAAGGATTCAAACCTGTATTTGCTTGCACTTCTTTCCTCCGACAGCCACGGGAGCTGCAGTTTTTGTGGTGCTAGGGATGAAATGAGAACCTGTATGTCTGTGAATCTCTTTTTGGGCTCCGTTTTCTCCAAAAGCCAGTGCAGGCTGAAGATTCACATCACCCTGCAGAGCAGAACTCTAGTCATCTTCTAATATCTCACCTAATAACTGGATTTTACTCAGTCAAAGTGTGTTTTGAGAGTTCCAAGCTCAGAGTCTGTGGGTGGCGGAAGCGGCTGTCACAGCCCTATACAGCTTGTAGGTACATCAGTCTATCAGCATTAAATCCTCTGTTTTATGACAGAGACCCTCAATAATTTTGAGCATTTATTCTTGAGTGTAAATAAAAAAAAAATAACCTTCAGAATAACTCTTTTTTTTTTTTTTTGCTATCAGAAAAGGTCTGCAGCAGTGTGTGCAAAGAAAGTAGTTCATTGGTGGCTGGTAGCTGTAGTTGTTACTCAACCTTAAGCAAAGTTTGTTTGAACTCTGTTTTACTTCTTCCTGTTCTTCTGCCCTGTGGCTTTTGAAAACCTGTTAGAATATACAGAGCCTGAGGGATGTATTTCAGGCGTATCTGATCTGTGTGTCTTAGTTCATACTCTTCTCTTTGAGAGTGTCTCTTGGCTGGCACGTAGCTTCTGATGCACTTCCGTGCTTGAATAAAGAGGTGCAACAAAAGAAAACGCTCTGAAAATTTGATGTAATGTGTCACTAATGCCAGAAGAGGGTAGGCCAGTTCAAGGGAAATTTGCTTGACTTTTTTGTGCAGGTAGTAAGTGGTTTTGGAAAAGCACTTTATGTACCGAAGACCTTTTCCTTGCAAGTGTTGGGGTATGTAGATTGTCCCTGTGGCTGTTAGTGCTGTTCGTGATTTTTGTTTAAGTTTATTCTTACTCCTGCATGTTTAAAATCTCCTTTTTTTTTTCCTCTTCCAGCTCCTATGTTCGGTTTGATATAATTCGAAGGATAATGACTAGTTTTTTTGGAATTGAAGTTATCATGGTGATGGGGATAACAGACATAGATGACAAGATAATAAAAAGAGCCAATGAGGTAGGTGTTTGCTGTAATCTTTGATCCAAACCTTTTTGGCATTTTCTACAACTGTGTACACAGGAAAGTTAACCTGGCTTTGTTTTTTTCTTGTGAGTTTTTTTTTTTCTTGACTTGTGTTTCTTTTAATTAGTAAATGATCGATGTTGAGGCTTCTGGTCCCCAGCTTGGCTGTAATGGGGCTGGGAGCCCAGAGCACCCACTGCAGGGGTCCCTCTGTCCTTGTCCCCTGCCTGGGGGGACAGCAGGGAACAAAAAGCCAGGGTGAATCCTCAGCAGAGTGAAGGGTGTCTTCTCCCATAAGCAATCCAAAACTTTGCAGGCAGGAGGCTTGTGGCTGAGTTCTGGAGAAGTGATATGTGCCCATGGAAATTAAAGGCAGTATGTGTAGTGTTGCCTCGTGCGGGGCTGAAGGTGCTACCTGAAAGGTGCCAGGCACCATCTAACTTCAATGTCAGCACCTTGGAGAGCTTTACCAGTCATGTCTGGGTTTCTCACTTACATGGAAGCTGACACTGAGCATAGAGGTAAGTCTTGGTAAGACTGGGGCTATAGGTGGTTCTCAGCTGGATTTTGATCAGGCCTTTTAATCAGACTTCTTTTACCAGCTGAACCTGGTGAATGATTATTCCAATTATTTATTTTTTTTAATGCTTTTTGGACCCTGAAAACACCAAGAATGTGTTCTGTGTTTTGTTCTGCCTTTTGAATGTTTTGTTTTGTTTTCCTTTTAGATTCTGTAACTCATGTCTTCTGGATCATAAGTTAATGTGTTGGATTTAATTGTGGTTAATCTAACTAGTTTCTTGGAATCAGAGAATTTGACAGCTGTCACTTTTATTTAATCTGTAAATAAGCAGTTGCTCTTGCAGTTAAGTGTAGGGCACTGCATTCAAATGAATGCTAGCACATTGCTCCTGTAGAAATGTGTGTTCCTGTAGTCCATTTACTTGCAGTTTTTGAAGACAGTGAGCCATCTTCAAAAACAAACAATGCCCCTTCGCATAAAAAAAACAACAAAGCAAAACAAAAAAAACCCCAAACCCAGGCATTTTCAATCTCTCTGTGTGCATTTTAAATGTTTTCCTTATTGCCATGACATGATAGAGATTTTTTTGTTTGAGGAGGGGAAATAGTATGATGCACCTTTTGTTTGGATCGCCAAGGCCTCTGCCTCAGTAGCCTGATTTTATGGTTGGGACCTCTGTAGCTGAAGCGTTCCAGTGGTAGGATCAACATTCCTAAGCTTGTTCTCAATCCTCTGGTGGGATTCAACTAGACAACCTGAAAGTTGGGCATCTAGTCTATGATGAGCGTGCTGCATGTCCTCAGTGGTCCTTGGAGAGAGAGGTGGGTCTGTGTGTTCCTCCAGCAGGCACCTTTATCTCTCTTGATGGAAGAAGCAGTTGAGCTGTCTGTAGGGAGGTGAGTCTGGTTGCTGGGGTCTGGAAGAGCACTCTCTCCAGTCTGTAGGCTGAAGCATGCTTTTATCTCTCCTTGCTAAGAGTCTTTCTCATTTCATTGCTGGATGAGCATCTGGTCTGTCTTCACCAGAACTCCTGTCTTGTCCAGGAGCTTGACCAAATAGTGATACCCACCTTTTCTCCAAAAATCAGACCCCTTAAAGATGCTCCAGTAATGAATTGGAAGTGATGAAACTGGATTTATTTTGTTAATGATTCACTTACCTGCAAGATGGAGAGACTGACAGCGTGTTTTCTTCTCACCAGTAGGTTCTCCACAGAAAAGATATAAAAACCTTGTGTTTGAAACACTTTGATACCATGCTTTTGCTTGCTAGGGCATCTTTTACTGTCACGCATCCTTCAAGCCCTGGCTTCTTTTGAATATTTGATAGCAGGTATCTAACAGAATTACAGAATTGCCAAGATTGGAAAAGACTTTTAAGATCATCAGGTCCAATCATTAACCTAACCCTGACAAGTCCTTGGCTAAACTGTGTCCGTAAGCACTATGTCTATGTAGTTGCAGAGAGTGACGACCCTCCTTCAGCCTCCTTCTCTCCAGGCTAAACAACTGCAGTTCCCACGGTTTCTCCTCGTAAGACTTGTGCTCTGGACCCTTCACCAGCTTCGTTGCCCTTCTTTGGACATGCTCCAGCACCTCAGTGTCTTTCTTGTAGCGAGGTGCCCAAAACTGAACACAGGATTTGAAGTGTGGCCTCACCGGTGCCAAGTACAGGGGGACAATCCCTGCCCTGGTCCTGCTGGCCACACTATTCCTGGTACAGGCCGGGATGCCTTTGGCCGTGGCCAGCTGGGCACACACAAGCAGTCATGTGCCAATTGTTTCTTGTCTTTCGGGTTGCACTTTCTTGTTACCTCTGTGAGGTTCCCTATTCCTGCCCATCGCCCCATGAACGAGAAACGTTGGTGAAGGGGCTTGAGAAGTGCCGTGCTTGGCAAAGAGTGGGGCTGACTTTCAGTTCGTTTTCCCCCGATTGTACTGCCATCTGTGAGTAACCATCATCAGCTGAAATAACTTGGGGGGGGGTTTAGTAGCTGAAAATTAATGTCCTGTCGCATTCTGTATGTCTCTGGTATGACCTACATGTCAGAAAGATGGATCAGTGTCCCCTGCCAACAGGCTGAATTTCCTGTCCCATGTACTGCAGTGTATCTTGTCACTGGAAAAGGAAGACCTCCTCAAGAAGAAAATAATGAGAGAGGGAAGGAGTTTATTATTTTAATCTTTGGTTGTTTTATCTTAAAAGATATGTATTAATATTATGGCAATTCAGAAGTGTAAATGAAATACTACTTTCAAGTTATAAATAACTTGTATTTCCTCCCCCTGAATGTTAGATTAATAAGCCTTTCTGGCTCTTTACCTTGGGGGCTCTGTAAGTCTTCCAATTAGCTACTAACTGTCTGGTAAAAGATTGCAATATTTTATATTATTACTTTGGTTTATGATTTACTGATCTGCTTCCCTCTTCTTCAGATGAATATTTCACCAGCAGCTCTTGCTCGTATTTATGAGGAAGATTTTAAACAAGATATGGCTGCCTTAAAGGTACAGATAATCATGCTTCTCAATTTAAGACTATTTTAAAGCAATTTATTTTGCTAAAGAATCTGATTTTGACAGTTTGGTCTGAAATAATAAATTGATTGCTTGTGTGATGAAGTGTTGCTTGAAAACAGAATACTGATTTACTTTTTCATTCTTCTGGAAATACATTGCCTACCTTTTGAGTAAGGAAGTAAGAGGAGAAGCAAACCCTAATTTTGGAGTGAACAAGTTAAATTTCTTTAGGAACACAGGTTTTGGGGTTTTCTTTCCCATTCAGGAGAGCCTTGGTTCACAAATAATACATAATTGCTATAATGCAGAAACAGCCTGATCTAAAGCATGGGAAGCAAAATATTTTTTTACTGACTTCAGATGACTTTGTTTCTTGTCCAAAATGCTTGTAAGAAGCAGGGAGTAAGCCACTGGGAAAAACTAGTGGATTTTTTTTTCCCCAACACTCAATTTTTATATATTTTTTTTTTTGGTATTATCTTAAATGCTACTTAAGATCTTTTTATGATACTTTCAAATATGTATTTTTATTTAAGGAAAAATTGAACAGAATGTTCTTTAAAGTTTGTTTCTTAGAGTGAAGGGACTTGTCAACAGTGTTTTTCATACAGGCTAATGAAATGTTTCCCTTTTTTTAAGGTCCTTCCTCCTACAGTATATATGAAGGTGACTGACAACATTCCTCAGATAATTTCCTTTATAAAAAAAATAATTGCTAGTGGACAAGCTTATACAACTTCACAAGGTAAGACTTATAGCAAGGCAACTCAACTCAGCACATGTACAGGGAATCAGCATTCTTAATAATCCTGTTTCGGGATCAGATGAGATACACTGTGCCAAGCTTTCCTTCTGTTCATTAGCAGCCAGAGCGTGAGCAACTCGTTTGTGATGATGTGAGTGGGCAGAACAACTAAGTTAAATGTAGCTCATTACTTAATATAATTGTTTAGTGTAATGAACCGCTGTTTAAGCTCCTGTGGGGAAGCCCTAGCCTGGCTTGATGCAAGGGAGCTGAGGGAGCCTCTTAGCTCTAAACAGGCCGTGGATATCTTCTATGTGCTGTAAAAGATGTGCCCGCAAAGCACAATGTGTGGTGCTTCATTTATTTATTTATTTATTTTTAGCAGAGCTGGTGGCTCTGGAAGGATTTGAGTGCGTTATAGCTGGTGTAGCAGCAGGCTGTGCTGCAGTCAGGGAGGGGATTGCTGATTGTGCACGGGCAGGAAAGAACCTGGGGAGATCTCCGGAGTATAAAGTTATTATTCTATGTGCAGAATGAACACACGCAGTGAGATTACTGAAAAACTGGTAACGTGGAAACATCTGCTACTACTTTTACAGTATTTTTGAATTTCTAAATCAGAATTTAAAAGAGGAGTCAAAGGACATTTTTGTTTTGCTTGTTATGTCCTCATCATGAATGTGCCCCGTCTTTGCTATAAAACTAAACATATCTTTTCTATTAGGTAATGTTTATTTTGATGTTAAGTCTTGGGAAAAAAGATATGGAGTATTGACTACTATTTATCCTGATACCCATGACGAAGCAGGTGAGTTTATGGCACCAACTTCTTTGTATTTAATGTATTGTTTGAACTCATGCTGTATCTATGTGTAAGCTTTCATTCAGCAGTCGGAAACAGTTTTCTAACCTATTGCATGTAGCCAGTTTTTTGATTAAGACTTTGCTTTTGTAATTTATTGAAACACTCACTGTTGCCAGTGCAAGAGGAAACTTGGTGGTTTCTCTTCATAGTTGGTTCCGTTCATACCTTTATTCTCATAACTTAGAACGATTAGGATTCTTAATCAGTTTTATTTAAATCTACTTGGGAGTGCTACATACAAACTTCATAGTGAGGGGGTGGTTTCAGCTGTTGGACTAGCCAGCAGTGAGATATTCGAGAGTAAACGCAGGGAAACTTTAATCTACTGTGTTTAGGGTTGGGGCAGTTGCACTCCTCGATGTATTCTAACCAGATGAATTTGCTTCTTTGATGATTTACTGCTGGACTTGTGCTAAGCAGCCTATCTGTGTGAGGGTGAGCCATCTCCTGACAGGCTGTGCTGGAACATGCCTGTACCCTGGGCTTTTTCTTTTCTACTGCAGTTGTGTGGTTGCTGAGCAGGATTGCTGAGCCTCCCTGTAGTTTCTGTAAGTCGAGTCTCTGGAGAATTTGATGCAGGCCTCCTCCATCCTTTTCTACTCTGAACTTCAGTATTTCTTTGTTGGAAAAAAAAAATGTTTGCAATTACTGAAAATACCTGGCAGGCTGGTGCTCAGGTGATTTGCAGCCAGAAACTTCTTGCAGCTCCGTGCTGGAGTTATTTCAACATTACAACTAGCAGAGGGAATGCATTTTGTTGACAGTTATTTAGAGGCAGTTACTGTCTGTGAAGACAGCCAACAGCTCTCCTGGGCTGCACTGGAAAGAGCATTGTCAGCAGGTCAAGGGTGGTCATCCTTCTTCTCTGCTCAGCACTGGTGAGACATGCCTGGAGTGCTGAGTCCAGTGCTGGGCTCCCCAGTAAGAGAGAGACATGACCACACTGGATAGAGCCCAGAAAAGGGCTGTGAATGAGATGGAACATCTTTTTGTGTGAGATAAGGCTGAGAGAGCTGGGACTCCTCAGCCTTGAGAAGAGAAGGCTCAGGGACATGTGGGCAAATGGCGAGAGTAAAGATGATGAAGCCAGGCTCTTGCCAGTTGTGCTTGGTGACAGGAGAAGAGGGAATGGGCACAGCCTGAAACACAGGAAATTCCATTTAAACCTAATAAAAACCTTTTTTACTCTGTGAATGGTTGTCACAAGAAAATGTTTCCCAGAGAAGCTGTGAAGTCTCCATCCTTGGAGATATTCAGAACCCAACTGGACACCATGCTGGGCAGCATGCCGTAGCTGAGCCTGCTCTGACCAGGACGTTGGAGTAGATGATGATCTCGAGGTGCCCTTCAGCTTCAGCTGTTACTGATTCTGTGTTTTGCCCTGTTTCCCCTAAAGTCACAACTAAATTTGCTCTTATTTCTGAATATTTTTACTGTTGTTTTGCCAGAAGGTGAAGAGTGTGCTCGTTTGTTTTTTTCTTTTTTTTTTTTTTTTTGTGGCAATATGCTCCAGAAAAAGGGCAAAAGAGGAATGGAGTCAGATACTGGTCAGACAGAGCTTGGCAAGCTAGTGAAAGAGCCAAGATAAAGATTCAGTGGATGAAACTAGGGTTATATTTCTGTTCTTTTATTTCCTATCAGTTTTGAATAATGAAGCAGGTGTAATGGATTTTTGTAATGTGCTTCCGTTAATATTGCATGACATTCGGAGTAAAAACCGACTCTGTATAATATCAATAAAATACAAGTGGAATGGCTCAAGAAAAATGACCATTTAGTAGATCTCCAAGAATAGCTGTGAATCATCATTAAAATGTGTTGATACTGGAATGCTCTAGGGATTGATTCAGACCCAGTGATACATCATGGTTTTGTTAGTAATCTGAAATAAGTAGAAGTAGTAAATCTAGCATCAGCTGCTGATAAAACAGATGAGCGGTGTTAAATGAGGGAACTTAAAAGCAGTGCGTGTTGCTTGCCAAGCTGTGCGCCTTCAAGCCAAATTCGGTTTGTTTTTCTGCAGCAGTCAAATGCAAGGCTGTGTATTTGTCAGCAAAAAGATGCAGAATCCAAAACCGTGGTCTGTAGCTCCTGCCAAGGAGCTGTGTATGTGTCCGGACAGGGGTTAGGAACTGGCAGAGACAAACCGTCTTCTCTGCTGTGCTGTGGCAGAAAGGACCATGTCCATGGCTGTGTAGTGAGGGAAGCAACAAATACAGCTGGCGAGGAGACCTCTGTGGAGAAGCCTCTGGTGAAAACAACACTGGAAGATCGCTACTGTTCAAGAATGATTTTGATTCTCGTCTCCATGCTCTTCTTGGTTTTAGAGAATCTGAACCAGAAGCTGTTTGTGTCCCAGAGGAAGAAATAGTGGATTTGGTTTTGATTTGTTTGTTGGTTTTGGTTTTGGTTAGTTTTGTTACTTTTTCTGCTGAGATGCAGTCTGTCCTGGGAAGCTGTCTGAGAAGTAGTGAAATGAATGATGTAAAACCAAAGAAGGCCAAAAGAACTAAAAGGATAGGATGTATTAAGAAATCTTGAATCCATCTTTTTAGCCTGCAGAAATCTAGTTCAACGTACTATTTTTTCTCAAACACTTGATTGAGAAACTGGAAGCCGAAGAGAAGAAAGCTGCAGGAAAAGAAGTTGAGTGAAAGAGATCAAAATCCAAATAGTTCACTAAACACATTTACACTTGCTTTCATTTGCTCGTATTTTTTTCTTTCTTGCAGAAATATCCCATTAACAATCACTTATTCTTGGCAGTTGATACTGATAAACGACATGGTAAAGATTTTGCCCTGTGGAAGGCTGCCAAACCTCAAGAGATGTCTTGGACTTCTCCCTGGGGAGAAGGAAGACCTGGATGGCACATTGAGTGTTCCACCATGTCAAGGTCAGATTTCTTAGATTTTAAATCTAGTGCTGGCTTTTCTTTTCAGTCACAGTACAATGGTAGCAGCAATACTGAAAGGGATGGTTTTTCTGATGAGTAGAAAGCATCAGGTTTAATGTGAATGCTTGGGATGTCCTGTGTGGCTCAAACGAGCTCTGCTCCACCTTAATGGCGTAGCTCTCTTGCTGCGTTTTAGCACTTTCCCTTGAGACAGACTTGGGTGTTTAAACTGTGCCAGGCAGGATCACGTGGTTGATTATCAAGTCTTTGAATGTGAACTGAGTAAATAAAGTTTTAGTGAAAGTTGTGGTACCTCTCTCATTTGCCTCCCTCTCTTGCAGTCTTCATGGGACTTAGCATATAGCGCTGTGTCGGACGAGGTGAGGGCTTCCATCCTGACTAGCGAGCATATGAGGTTTTGCTGGCCTTAACTTATATTCTGTGGGCATGTTATGAATGGTGCGTAGCAGCATTTTGCTTGTAGTTGGTTTAAATTAATCTGCTCTTAATTTGGAGTTTTATTTTCTCCTCAGGGTGGCAATATTATGTCCTCTCTTGGAAGATTGATAGTGATACTTAGTTTTGTGTTAGTCTTAGATCTTCTTTTGGAAGCTAATAACAAATCATTTAGATCTGTCCCTCTTTAAGTTTTCAACCCAAGCGGAAAGTAGATGGAACAGGTGCTTTAAGTTCCTCTTTCATATCGTTTGCTGGTGCACCTGGGGCTGTTGGTCATTAGTACCTGACTGTTAAAAGTGTTAATAAGTGTGGCTTTCTGTCTGTAAGTAGTTTCAGCACCATGAAACAGTTTGTAAAGCAACTGAAGTACACAAAAAGGTGCTGTATTTGAAGTGCAACCTGTGACAGAAGCGCACTGGTAAGAAATGCCAATTGCAAAACAGCCTCTCTGCCAGTGCAGTGCCATTTACAGCCTGCATTTCTTTCTTTTTGTAATTTTTTTTTTTCCTGTGGCTGTATGAGGGTCCCACCTTGTAAATAGGAGTTGACCCGTGCCGAACATAGGTGTAGTAATCTTGGACTGTGAAAAATTGAGAGTTTATTTTGGTAAGTTACCTAAAACATTTTGCTGTCCCAGTCAGCTGTCCAGGCAATACCTACTTACCCATTTGCTTTGCCAAAGATCTTAAAGCACTTTGAGTAAGCCAGGTGAACTAGTTTTGAAAAGGCTGTGAAGTGTGCCTGGAGAAGGTGAATGAAAAGGGTGTTGGTCTCTCACGCAGCCCTGGAGGAAGGAACGACCTGCTGTGGCTTAGGTTTGGTCTCCTCTCTGGAGTTTCGCTTGCTTTGCTTCCTGCCCCCGAGTATTTTGTGGACCCATCTCTCCTGTCCCCAGCTCTTAATGGTTTTGTTGGAGAAAATGACAAGGGGCCAGTGCTCCTTTGTAGATGGCACAATGGAAGACACGAGCTGGGGCTGCTTCTGGGAAGATCTGTGCTTCAGCTGGTTTTGGAGCAGACAGGGGGAGTGGAGAGGGCATGAGGTTGGGAAATAGCAATAGCTAGTCTTTCTTCCCACCTCCCTTCTCCTTGTTTTCCTTTCTTCCTGTGCCCCAGCAGCTCCTGCAGAGACGTTGTGAGCCGGGGTGTTAACGGGGTGTTCCGTCCCAAAAAGGAACAATAGTATTAGTATCTAAGCCAGCTGCCAGGTGCAACTTGCTAGTGTGACATATGGGAAGACTGTGTATGTCTATGTGTACACACAGAGGCATGTGTAAGTAAGTGTTGTCTTTGTTTCGCAGATGGGCAAAATAAAGTTATCCCTTTGCCCAGCATGGCCTAGCAGGGACTTGCTGGAGCAGTGGATGGAGTGTAGGAGCCTTTACTCCTGAAGGTCTGCTCTGTTGCCACGTGAACACCTTACTTCAGCCACCAGTATTTGTGGAGCCACCAGTGCTGTGCAAGCCCATGGGTGACCCACTTTGATGCAGCAGTGCTGTTGGGTTGAGAGAAGCGGCCTTGGGAGAGGCACTGATACTTTCTTTTGATGTTTTAGTGATACATGACTAAGCATTCTCTATCGTGGCTGTGTACAGTATTGCCTGAATTCTTACAGAGAAGGTACAAGATAAAGAATAGTAATACCAAATTTACAGAAACGTTTGTCACTTTGAAGTTGTTAGGTTTGCAGATGAAGGCCACTGTCTCGATACGGAAACTGTAGCAGAACAGGGAAGGGAGGTGTCCTGCTTGCCGTTCTCTAATCTAAGGTAGAAAAATAATTGTTCCTACTAAGGAACATTAATCGTGGGCAGATAGGGGTCCTGTCCATACAAGGACAGTTGCAGCTTTGGCACCCAAGATCTGTGTAAAGACTTGTTTTAAGAAGGCAATAATAAGATTGTACACTTGAATTTTTTGTTTCATCTTACTCTTCTTTGCGTTTCTTCTTACAAAAAACTCCTGTAGTTTTCTGCTTACCTAACAGGAAAATATTGTTACAGTGCAGTGTTTGGAAACCAGCTGGACATCCATACCGGTGGAATAGATCTTGCATTTCCTCATCATGAAAATGAAATCGCACAGTGTGAGGCATATCATCAGTGTGAGCAATGGGGGAATTACTTCTTCCATTCTGGTAAGTAAAATATTAGTCACCTGGAAGGCCTGTAAAATTATAATGGTTTGGTTTTTTAGGTTTGGCATTTGTATAGTGTGAAAACAGATGCTGTACACAGTGACTGAATTCCCATCCTCACTAAATGAAGAAGTATAAATAAGAGCAAATCTTGAAACTGTAGAATGACTGACTCTGTTAATAAAGCATTTAGAGTGGAATATTCCTGAAATTTATCTGGGGAAATCTCCAAATAATATTGCTCATATACAGTGTTTGCTCCTAATTAAGCACGGGGAAAGAAGAGTTTTTCTCATTTCCTTTTGTTTGAGTTTCCTCAAAATTTGAGAGTTCTCTTTGTGATAGACTTCCTTTTAAAATTGTGTTTTGGCTGTAACAGTCTATATGTGTTTATGTAGTCCTCCTAAAACCAGGAGTTTCTGTTGTCTAGAACTAGAACCCACAGTGTCTGAAGGCAGGGAGCGGAGGTGGCAGGTGGGCAGGTTCGCTGATTTCTAATGTTTTAGAAGCATTGAGAGTAGAATAAACCGATCTTGTTCTCTAACGTGTCTCAGCACCAGTTGCTTGTGGGCTTTAAAATAAGATTTTGGTGGCATGCGGAATAAACCAGCCTGTGTTTGTGACTATGGTTAAGGGCTTTTAGTCATGATAAGAAAAGACATCTGTATTTCTGGCAAGTAAGAATGGAGAGAACGCTAAGATACATGAACTGATGAACCAGCGAAGCTCACAGAATTGTGATTCTTCAAAGAAACATCTGAGCTAGGATGTTTGGTATGAATTGAAATGTGGGGGAAGCCTTGCAGGCAGATGTTGTGCTGCAGCAGTCAACTGCTGGATGTTCCCTGTGCACCATTCACGTAGCTGTAACTATTTAAATTCTTCTGGGAAGGCTTTTTCTTTTTTTTCTTTTTTTCTTCTTTTTTTTTTTTTTAATCCATCAGTACTGTTACCCCTGGTGTTGAATGTGAGAAACAGAATTCATGCTGGAGATGAAGTGAGTCAGATGTTTTGGTCTGCTCTGGTCAAGCATGATCAATGCGGTTGCTGGTGGGTAGAGACAAGGAGGTCTGTGACATTTATGGGCTACATAAAGACCAAGCCACTTGCCCCTTGGCTCTGTAAAAAAGTGGAGACATTAAGTTTCATCACCCTCTCTAGTGCTCTGACCACCTCCAGAGTCTTTCTGCTTTCCTGTGGAGTGTGAGTGACTTGGTGTCGGTGCAGCCCAATACAGTTGTCACAGGCCTTATTTCTTCCCCCAGAAGTGACCTCACTGGCTATGTCTGACTAAACTGGACCAAAGTGTCTTCTACTTGCTCTGTCTTCATGGTGTGATCCTGCCTGGTGTTACGTAGAGCTCCTCCTTGCTGCCTCCGCACGACAGCGCTTCAGTGCAATTTGTGCTGTACCGTGCTTTGAACTGCACTGTTGTCTGACAGTACTAGCACTGTTCCTGTTGATGGAAACCTTGACATTTGTTCTCCCTATTGCATTCATGACGGTTCTGGATGGTGAGCTGAAGGCGGTAGAAAGTCAGGTTCAAATCTGCAGTCTCTCTTCTTGCCACAAAGTGCTTTTCGTGAGATGCCTTGGAGAACTCTTTGGGCTGCTTCCCTCAGTAAGAGATGTAGAGTTAAGCCTGTGCTGCTCTCTGGGAATTACTTGGGCTTTTTTTTTTTTTAATGTATATTTGCACTGTACAAATGAATGAATATTGAATTCTAGTTTCAGTTCCCGGTGTAGAGCTGGGTATAAATGAATAGCAGTTGTCCAGAGGCTGGTGCATCCCCCAGGGTGGGCTTTGCTCCTGAAGGGCTGGGGAGTTCTCTGCACTTCCACTGAGTTGCACTGGTTACTGCCAGGTGGAGCCTTCTGTTGAAAACCAGTGAATCTGACTTTTCAAGCTTGGAATTGGAATTATAGGGGAAATATTCTTTGAAACTAACTAAACAGAAGTATTTTTTAAAAGAAAAATTAAGGGAGGGGGAGAAATTAATTCCAAGGGCAGTTTGTACACTGAGGTTCTGTAGGAGCTGAGAGATTACATTCATTAAGTCAAAAAATTTTGCTGGAGGATGATACTGTGAATTATTTAGAGCAAATTAATCGTCCTCAGAAACAATTTATTCTGGTAACTGACTGCAGAATTTTAGCAGGCTCGGAATTGGAGGAGCAATCCCCATTAGAGGAAGAAAATCCCTGCACTGGGGATAAATCTTCTTATAAGGACTTTATTTTTAGACTACTTGTACTCTGGGAAGAGTGCCAAGCCAAAGTTATGAAAATCCTTGTATTTTGTGATTCTTTAATGAAATCATTCAAAGTGCTGAAACTCTTGAAGAGGAATATTATTTCAAATTCAGATGTTACCTGTACCTTATTAGGAAAACACAATCAAACTATTTTAAGCTTGGCTGCCTAAAGTTAAGTCAGTCAATACTTAGGCACCTTTGCAAAAGAAAAAAGTAGTAATCGCACCCAGGCTCTTCCCTTTCTGCTAGGAGAGGTTTGTCTGTGGGTTATACTTGAGTTGCAAGAGCTGCAGGTGTCTGCTGTCTCGGACAGCCTGGACGTTCTTAATGAGGACCCTGAGTTTAATAGCAAAGCGGTCAAAATGGCCTCACCTACTAGCAGTCAGGACAAACATGCTGAAAGTGATGTTTTGGTTTGATTGTAGATTTCTGCTGTAGCTGGTCCTGTATCCATAGATCTCTTGATTCTTTCCTACTCTCCACAGTGAGTTGTGCACACTTCAGTTTCCAGGTGATCAGGGTAGGACTGGAGGAAGCCTTATGGAGAATCCCCGCTGCTCTGAATCATTGTAAGAAATAGCTAAGAAGTGAAACTAGATGCTTCTCATGTCCATTTACCAGGCTGGAGCATGTTGCTTTTGTATCCAGACGAGCATAATGGGGATTTTTTCTCCTTGTGTAAGAGAGGGAGTTCCAGGCAAGGCTGCAAGAGCAGTGCTGCGTGGAGAGTAGCACAAAATTCAGACAGCTGCTCAGGGTGCTGGGCAATAAATGCCACCTCTGCCACCACCTGTAAGAGCAGAAGTGATCATATGTTGTCCTCATGGAGCCCTCTGAGGCATTGGTAATGCTGGACTGCCAAATCTGGAAGAATGCAAAGTGCTAATGTGATATGAAAGAGCAAGAAAAGTTCATGCTTAAAAATCTGCCTCCAAGTATGAATAAGTGCCTGAAAATTGTGTGTTAGTTGTGGGTGTTTGGAAGCTTAAATGATTACTCTTTTATTAGGAGAAGCCAGTTAAGGCTTTTAACATTTTCAAAATGATGCTAAGTAGCCTCTTATTTGCTGCATGTTCAGCACGTCTCCAGTACTATGAGTAATTGATATTTTCTATCAATGGTGATGCTGCGGCCAGCACAGAGGAGGCCTGGGAATGTACAGCACGAGGTTGCCCATCTCCTGTCTTGCTTCAACAGAACTTCCAGTCCTGAAGCCAAGCTCTACATAAATGCAATGGAGATAGCTACTGCATTTTTCTAGTACCACAGCCCTACAAAACAATGGTCCACGTGGCTCTAGCAATGCTCAGAGATTCTCTTTATCAGTCTCCCAAAGTCTAGAGAAGTAGGGAATATGCAGATAAGTAACTAGGGAATATGCAGATAAGTAATTTTACAGGTAAGGTATTTTGCACCAGCACAATAAACTTTTGGATGAAAAAAATAGTGTAACAGCCACCAGCAAGTAATAAATACAGAAAATTGTTTGAGTTTCAAAAATATTGTATTGTGAGATTGCTGGAAGATCTTTAAAGGTCTTAAAAGCAGTTCTGGAAAGTCAGGTGTATCAGGTAAGATGCTTTTCTGTCAAGATTAAGCAGTACTGGCTTGCTTGCTTGTTTCTGTCAGTATGTTATCGATTCTTATTAATGTCTCTGCTCATGGTGGTGATGTTTTGTTATTTGGTGTTTTTTGTTTTTGTTCTTTAAAAAAAATTTCCTGTGTTTTCAGATTCACTCAGTGAAGGTTGAGGATTGAGAAGTGTGCGGGAATGTAGGCAAAACTATTGAAAAATGTTAGATATTGCATTGAAATGGCTGGTGCATATCCATCACAGCATATTCTGCCTCCTACATTTCCAGTGTCTCACTACAGCCTTTCTCATTCGCTACTCATTCAGAAGCACACTCATTTGTCCCAGTTAATTATATATATTTTTTAAAATTTTGTTCTAGGGCACTTGCACGTTAAAGGAAGTCAAGAAAAAATGTCCAAGTCGTTAAAAAACTACATAACAATTAAGGTAATCTATTTCTGTGAATTGACCAATGTATGTTTGTAATATGTAAATATTAATCAGAGAATTATTGAGGGTGGAAAAGACCTCTGAGAACATCAAGTCCAGCCTGTGACCCAACACCACCACATGGGCCAGACCAGGGCACTAAGTGCCACATCCAGCCTCTCCTTAAACACCTCCTGGGACGGTGACTCCACCACTTCCCTGGGCAGTGCATCCCAGCGCCTCAGCACAATCTGCCTGAGATCCAACCTAAACCTCCCCTGACACAGTTTCAGGCCGTGTCCTCTCCTCCTGTCACTCGTTGCCCGGGAGAAGAGCCCGACCCCCACCTGACTACACCCTCCCTTCAGGCAGTTGCAGAGAGTGATCAGGTCCCCCCTGAGCCTCCTCTTCTCCAGGCTGAACACCCCCAGCTCCCTCAGCCTCTCCTCACAGGACTTTCCCTCCAGTCCCTTCCCCAGCCTCGTTGCTCTCCTCTGGACCCACTCCAGCCCCTCAGTGTCTTTCTTGCAGTGAGGGGCCCAGCCCTGCACACAGGGCTCGAGGTGAGGCCTCACCAAGGCTGAGCACAGGGGCAGAATCACATCCCTGCTCCTGCTGGCCACCAATCAGCCCTCTTCTGAGAAAACTTGGGAGTGTGTGCTTACCCTGCAACATAAGACCTGAAGCGGAGTCTTTCTGTAGTGCTGGTGTACCTGTTATTGCAGATCTCGATGTAGGAAACCCCCTTGGACTCAGGATTTGCTTATAACATGGATTTTGCTGAGCTGAGATTGTTCCTAAGAGCAGCATTTGTGCCTAATACTAGACTTGTGCATTATAGGTTTATTGTTGGACACGATCTCAAGGGTATTTTCCAACCAAAGTGATTCTGTTCTGTAGTCATGGGCTCTCATCTGTCTTCTCTTAATATTGCATATGCTTTTGGGACTTAGAAAAGAGTGGACATTTTTCTTTGTTCTGCTTTAGGTGAAATGGGATGTAATGTCACTATTTTGTCAGGAAGCTTTTGGGTGTCCTGCAACCACACTTTGGCTGTGGTCTCTTATATTCTCCTTAATTTTTATAGGGTTACCTTGCTGATGCACAGATTGCTTTGTTTTTGTACCCACAAGCCATATGAATATGTCCTGGTTTAGTGCAACCCAAAGTTCTTTGCTGTAGCTCAAAGCAGAGTTTCTCTGCCAGACACGTGCAACACAGCTGTGCTTGGTGCTAGTGTGGCTCCCATGATGGCTAACACCTATTGTGGGTAATTTCCTTCCTTTAGACAAAACTTGAGAAGCTGTTTCAGCACATATGTTCCCCTTTGCCCTCTCAGAAGACTTAATTAAAATCCCTTTTAAAAGGAGTTCAATATGAGCTGCTTTATTCTTAATTCTCCTGATGCTGTCTGGGTACAGTTAAGCCCTGTCTCCCCCAGGAAAATCACTCGTCACTCACAAGTTACACAGAATTTTCCTGAGTCTCAGCAGATGTTGTGGACAGGGTGGAGAAATGGGCATGGATACAATGCAGGGAGTTCAAAATAATGTATAGAGACGTTTCCCTCCACTGCTGTGGTGGGACTTCTTTCTGTTGAGAAACCAAAAATGTCAGGCCCGTCTCTCTTCCCTTGCAGGCCTCCACTTTTAATTTCTGCCCTTAGACATGGCTAACAAGTACTAAACCTTCCCTGTAAGTGATTTTTCAGTGTAGTGAAGCAAAATTCTTCCTGCTTCTTGAAAGTTAAGCTCTGTGTGGAAGGTCTTGTGCCCACTCCTGAATTGGGGAGGCCTGTCTGGGGCCTTCTTTTGGTCCTGCTGGCAGCTGCCTGCATTCCAAGCTGTCACCCGGGCATGGCTGCCCCACCTCCTCTGTGTCCAGTTGCCCTATTTTCCCTCCCTCTTGTCCCATTTTCTGTGTTATTTTTTCTTTAATAAATAGCTAGTCATTCTGACCCCCAAAATCAACCACGTTGTGATAACGCATGGCTGAGCAACCTGCTTTGAGAGAGCTGTGATGCTTCCTTTGTACTCAGTTTTCAATGAAATGCAGAATTGTTTTTTCCAGTTTGGATGGTCCTTTCCCAACTTTTTTTTTTTTCTCCATACCTACTTTATATATATTTATATATATTAGTGTAAAGCTTCTGGACACATTGAGTATACTATAGAGAGTTTAAAAAAACCCCAACAAACCCCAAACCAAACCACAACAAAACCCCCACCCACTGAACCAGACAATATCACTGTGATTTATCTTGCCTTGATTGCTCTGTTGTTTCTGTTTTCATTGGAGAGTCTGCATATTGCTGACTCTTTGCTACCTTCCATCTTCACGCTGGTTTAGTCTGGTAGCAGAAGCTAAATTGTGAAATGTGTGTCTCCAGGCAAGTGACGCTGTATTTTCTCACTTGTACCAACTTCTCTGTATGATTTTCGGTTTCAGTGGCACAAACTTAACATCACCAATTAGCAAATTAGACAGAAACAAAAAAGGAAAAAAAGAGGCACGAATACAGTGTTCATAGACAGTGTGCCACAGTGTCCAGCCTTGCTGAGAGTAGGGCTGGAAGTGGTTGAATGTTTTATCAGTGTACCTTCCAAACATTTAAATAATTCTTTATACTAAAAGTATAAATTAATTACACTAGTAATAATAGTGATAATTTGCTTTTTACTACAGTAAATTAATTGTAAAGCTAGATATATATTAAGCTGAAATTAATGAGGTTCCAAAATTAACACAGATAAATTCTAGCAATATAAAAAAGTTGATTTTGTTCATTCCCTGCTTTTTCTGCAGGACTAGAACATGAAAGAAAACATTTTCTTTTTCAAGAAATCTTTCCTTTTTTGATAAAGTTTGCAAAATTAAGGAGATACTCTTTTGTGCAAATTGGATCCCAGTCTTAGTCTGGTAATTTTGGTTGGTTGGGGTTTTTTGTTTGTGGTTGTTAAAAGGTTTTTATACAGTGTATGTTTGACCATAATTACGAAGTACTTTTCACTGTCTTACATTTGATAGAGTCTTGCATACATATATACATGCTCCTAGAATTAGATTTTATGTAGCTTAGACTTTAAAATGACTAGGATGGGTTATCTGTCATCTTAGTTTGTCTGAAATATGCTCTGAAACTGGCACAAGGCTGGTGCAACAACTCCTGAAGGAACCATTTGCTGTAATGCTAAAGCCATCTTTTTCTGGGTGGAGTTTAGGATTTCCTGAAGAAATTTTCATCGGATCAATTCAGGATGTTTTGTTTGCGCAGCAGATACAGCTCGGGTAAGGAAATAACCCCTTTGTTCACTGAGACACACGTGTCTTTCCATGCGTGCTTCCCGAGCTGGCGGCAGGGCGGGCTCTCCCTGCGGTGCCTCGCAGTTCTCCTCTGGTGAGTGGAGAGGCTGGCAGAGCTCTGCGGGGCTGCACTTTGCCTCTCCTGTCGAAAAGCATCTTCACCCAGCCTGATATGTAACTGTTTGTCTGAATACCTTCCTGAGCTGCAGTTAATTGTGACTTGCAGTTAATTGCACTTTCAAATAATGAATTACCTCCATGTCTGATTTGCATCTCGTTGCAGTGACTTGTATTTCAGTCACGATCAGCTGTTTTCTGGAGATGTATCTAGGTAGAGCTTTGCCTTATATTCCCGTAGGGCGTGACAAGGGCTTGCTAATAACTTTTTCTCTCCCTGCTGTGTTATCATTTTTTGTCCCATGGAGTTACTGAGTGTTAAAGCAATTCTGTGGTGCAGTGCAGCTCGCTTACCCAGCACTTGGTAACCTAATGATCGTCTTAGCCCAGCAAACACTGCTGGTGGGGAGAAGTGTGACAGGTTTTGTCAGCTTCCCTGTTTACTGTGGTGTTTCCAGCAGCCAGGCACTATGGAAGAAGTTTTCATTTGGTTGGTCTTTTTACCGGTGTACTGGGACCTGCCAAAAGCAGATGGTAGTTCCCTAACCACTGCTGGATCATCTAGCTTGTTGGTTGTCCTGGCATGGTCAGGCGATGGCGGAACATGGGACAAGACCTGCTGTGGTATTTCAGTGGGCCTCCAGCTGCCTCGTATAAAGCCCCTTCAGCAGCATGACCAGGAGACCTGGTGTGGTTCGGGCTCTGTGGCTTTGCTAGTGTCCATCAGCCCTCGTTTGGAGCAGGAGAAGGGGGAGTGCTGGCACCACAGGGTGAGGTGGCAGGACAGTGGCATGCCTGGCTGGTTTTGGGGTGATGCCGCAGGACAGTGGCACCTCTGGCTGTCTCCTCTGGGTCTCTGTCAGTAGTGTTGTGCACACATAAATGTCTGCCCAGGTGCAGCACTTGGGAGCCTTGAACAAATGTGTTTTTAAAACGGAAGAAGAAAAAGGGCTAACACCTACAGCACCATCATATGTGCTTGTTCTGTAAACAAAAGCCGAGTGGCTGGCAATTTCTAAGTTTGCCTGAGGGTGAGGAATGGCACTGGAGCCCTGCAGCCTTGCTGCTGCATGTCAGCTGGCTGCATTTGAACCTCTGCAAGGACATGACCCTTTTTTTGCCTTACTTCTAGGTTAAACACCTTCCTGTGGTAAAAAACACAGGGCTACCTGTGTAAATATAGGTGGCTTTGATGAAAAGATGTGATGAACGTTATGGCAGAGTGTAGTGCCTGTAAGCCAGGCAGCAGATAAGGATTACTCGGAGGTCTGCTGTGCTTGCTACCTCCACCTGATGAGGTAGGGTATTTGCTGTCCGATTAAAGAGCCAGTCAGTCACTGCTAAGCCGGGTATTTACAGTGCAGCCAGTCAGTTTGCGTCGCTGCTGTCAATTCAGTTTGATCTGAAGATAAGTTCACTGCACTCCTTATTTTGCTGTCTGCTTCCTAAGTGTTTTTGTTAGAAATGAGATCCCAAGAACCTTCCATTTGTTCCTAAAAAGTTTTTGTAGTCTAAGCCTGTTGGTGATGGTTCCTGCCATCCCTACCTGTGAAGAAGAGCCTTTTGTACTTGCTAAAATCCAGGTTTGGGGGTGTGGATGATGTTACGCTCTTTGGATTGTGCCCATAAAAGATCTTCTTAAGTATGTGGGTGAGGGCAGCGCCTGACCATTTGGAATGGCTCATGCTTGATGCTTGGTTTATGCAGATCTTGGGCTTGGAATGGGCCCTTTTTTTTTTTTTTTTTGTTACCCCCTGCCTGCTCACGTGCTGACGGGCACCTGGGGACACACTCGATACCAAACTGCCCCAGCTGTGGAGGGGCAGGTGCAAGGAGATCATAGACTCATAGCATGTCCTAGGCTGGAAGGGACCTTAGAGATCATTTAATCCAACCTCCCTGTCATGGGCAGGGACGCCTCTCAGCTAGATCAGGCAGCACATGGGGACCGAACAGGGATGCATGTGTTTTGTGGGAGAGGAGATCCCCTCTTGTCGTGGTCATTGTTCCAAGGAGGTTAAATGTGGACGCCTCGCTTATGAGGAAGAAGAGAAAAGTCAGAGGGAAGAGGCTTGGACACAGCACATCTCATCCTTCCGTTGTGTCTCTGCAGAGGGTCCCTCTGCTCCATTGCCCTCTCAGACTGGTGGGGTGGAGGTGCTGGGGGTCGAGCTGAGCTCTGGGGGCAGTGGTGATGATCCAGGCCTTCTGCTTTGGCTGATGGCTCTGGCTTGTCCCCTTCTTGGCCTGAATCACCACCCTTCAGCCCAACTGGGGCTGTTGGGAAGAAGTATTTCCTAGGTGTCACAGGCCACAGTATAGTGGCCCCATCACCAGTGCTCCTACCAGGCTGCTTCTGGGTGTGACTTAAAAGGAGAGGTGCCTTCTCTGAAGCCCTGTGGGATGTTGTTGTGAGGCACAGTTTTTCCTCTTGCATCTCATGAGCAGCGACTTCACTTTATTCACTTTGGTGGAGGGGCCGTGAGGCCACTGCAGGCAATGGAGTTCCCTCCCCAGAATGCTCTCCTGGTCACCAGAACCACTCCGGTGATTTTTATGAACCTGAGTGAGCTGTAACCTTTTTGATCCCTCCAGTATTTAATTACTTGTTGGTGCTAATAAACATATATTTTGTAATTTGATGATGTACTGATGATTCCCTTGGTGGCAAAGGAGGGAAAGGAATACGGAGTAGTATGATGGAGGTTTATAGAGCTGGGCTTGCCTGTGCCGTGGTGTGAGTTTGCAATGCCTGCAGGCAGTGGTTTAGGAGAATGATGTGAGTTGGGGAAGAAGAATGGCTTTAATCAAAGCAGCCTTTTTAAGGATAAACTTTCATGGAGTATTCTTGCAGAGTTCCAGCAACCAGGATAGTCAATTGAGTAATCTTAGTGGACATAAATGATCTCTCTCAATATCTTACTCTTTTCTAAATGTCTGTACATCGGTCTTTTTAAAAGCTGAGTAAAGCTTAATTCTAAAAACAGTGTTAATGAGGCAGTAACATGGATTTTTAATTATGCAAAAAGTGGAAAATCTGACAAATACAGGTCCAGACTTATGCCTTAGTTATACTGGGGTGAATCCTGTGGAAAGTCTGTTTAAACAGTTAGACTTCTTGGGGATTTAGGCTGATGGAACTGAGATCAGGTCTCACATCTGGCTGCTTCTGCCCTCTTAGATCTGACCTCTTGCTCGGACTGTCTGCTCTGATGAGTCTGTGTCTGGGCACCGTTGGGTCATTGCACAAAGCGGTCAGCTGTGATGTGTGTGGAACCCAGAGTGAGACTGCTGTGGAAGCTACAGGTGTTGATAAGATGAGGAGTACGCTATGGGCTGGAGTTTGGATGTACCTTAGTGCAGAGGTCAGGTGTAAAATGGTGATGCAAATACTGCGCTGGCTACGAAAGGTGCTTTGATTCAAATAGCCAGCTCTGGTGTGATGTTGGGAGAAGGAATGCATTTAAACTTAGGCCTGTCCTTGGATACAACTCCCACCGAGGTCAGGTGAGCTGTCTCATGTGGAGTCTGAGGGCTCTTCTACAGAAAATTGTGCATTACTGTACTGATGGAAGCTCACAGTAAAAGTGACAGGGGGCCAGTCCAGCACCTGTGCTTCTGAGGACATAGGCAAGGAGAGAGGAGCCTGCTTAACCCTAAGCGTTTTTTTTCTCTAGTAGTCACCTTTGATATGGTGAGTTTAGGTTTGATATTGTGAGGGAATTGTATATCTAGTGCAGAATCTAGACTGTAAAATTTTAGCTCCATCTAGATTTTAGATGCTGGTGAAGCAGCCCTTTAAGTCTAAGTGCCTGTATTCCTCACAGAGTCAATGGTGAGGGTTAGGTCTCTTTAGAGGTCTCCAAATACACATCATGTCTACTTCAATTAGAATAGAAACAAAATTAGGGGTGAGATCAAAGGTATGTCTTGCCAGCTTAAGCCTGGGGGGATGTTTAGAAATATATCCAATCCAAATGCTTTGGACTAATAACTTCACAGAGAGATTCAGTAATAAAAAAAAAATAATTAAAGTCAAGTAGCTATTGCTTCAGTCAGTCTGATGACACCTTTAGAGTCAGTCTGATACCTTTCCAGTAGGTTATGCTTTTTCAAAGGTAATGATTGTCTCTTTAATTCACCTAGTGCCCGTGAAAAATTGAATTTTTAATTAAATATGCAGTTAATTATAAGAAAAGTTTGCTATGACAAATAATAACAAACTTCTCCTGGAGTGACTTTGCCTCAGAATATTGTTCCTGTCATGACACCTGAATAATTTTTTTTCTTTTTTTCTTAGCAGTGGAATTTAGTGATGAGAGCATGGAGGATGCAAAGCACCTTCTTCAGTCAATTTCCTCATTTATTACAGATGCACAGGCTTATATAAAAGGACAGCTGGTATGTGACTCTGTTAGAGAAGACATACTGTGGGAAAGGTAAGTGCGCCTGCTGTATCTTAAAGGTTGAGATAATGTGAGCAGTGGTTTGCTGACAGTCTCAGAGGGCTGAACAGTGTAGTGTTCTGAGTTCTGTTTAAGAAGGAGGACTGAGAAGCAGTCTTCCCTCCCAGCCCTCACCAAGGGCAGCTTTTTTGCCCCCCTTCTTTTTCTAGCCAGCTGCTTTTCCTTGTAGTCCACTACACTTAGTTTACTGTATTTTTAAAATCTGTGTAACTTATCTAGTGTGCCTGTCTTAACACAGGCATCTTTGCCCCTCTTGGGTGATGGAGAAGGCAAAGCTATGAATGAAGTTGTGAGGCTGCCCAGTTTGTAAAGTCATAACAACCCCAGCAGTGCTACAGGCTTGGGGAAGAGTGACTGGAGAGCTGCCCGGCAAAAAAGCATCTGGGGGTGCTGGTGGGCAGCCGGCTGAACATGAGCCAGCAGTGTGCCCAGCTGGCCAAGGCAGCCAACAGCATCCTGGCCTGTGTCAGAAATAGTGTGGCCAGCCAGAAGTAGGGCAGTGTCCATGCCCCTGCACTCAGCACTGATGAGGCCACAGCTTGAGTGCTGTGTTCTCTTTTGGGTGCTGCAGTGTAAGAAAGACATTGAGGGGCTGGAGCCGGTCCAGAGAAGAGCAATGAAGCTGGTGAGGGGTCTAGAGAACAAGTCTTGTGAGGAGCATCGGAGGGAACTGAGGTTGTTTATCCTGGAGAAGAGGAGGCTGAGGGGAGACCTCATTGCTCTCTGCAACTACCTGAAAGGGGTTTGTAGTGAGGTGGGTGCTTGTCTCTTCTCCCAGGTTACTAATGATAAGATGAGAGGAAATGGGCTCAAGTTGCACCAGGGGAGGTTTAGATTGGATATCAGGAAACACTTCTTTACTGAACGAGTGGTGGGGCATTGGAACAGGCTTCCCAGGGAGGTGGTGGAGTCACCATCCCTGGAGGTGTTCAAAAAACATGTAGACGTGGCACTTCAGGATATAATTTAGTAGTCGTGGTAGCACTGAGTTGATGGTTGGACTTGATGATCTTAGAGGTCTTTTCCAACCTTAGTGATTCTGTGATTAGCAACTGAGAAGAAAGAGGCTGACCAAAAGATATCACACCTTGGGCATGAGCTTGTAACCTGTGCAGCAGAGGAAGGATTACTAAGAAACTGGCCAGGGACAGAGATGTGACAGGGAAAGAAGAAATCGTGGTTATTGTGACCCTGACAGTGATGAGGAGAGTCTTCTTTGGAGTCCCTTAGGAAAGCTAGATCATCTTCTGGGAGAGTGATGTGCTTTGTGTTGGGTACAAAGCTGAGAACACGAGCGCAGTGCTCTGGAGTTTGGGGTCAGAGGGGTGTGCAGGCAGCTCTGGGGTGCAGGATCCAAGGGGAAACAGCGTGTGCTGTAGAAGCGAGAGGTGCTTCCTTGTGGTGTGGGCACTTCACTGTCGGCGAGCTTGCAGCTGCACTGGCCAAGGCTTTCAGAGGGTACTGGAAGGAGTTACAGGAAAGTGGAGTTGAATTCACTGCTTGTGGTATTTGGCAAAAGCAAATCCTTCGGCAGGAGGCTGCTGGAGACCTGTTGGTGAGAGATAAGGCTGAGACGCAAGGCACATGGGGAAGCTGTCAGTTCGCGGAGGACGTGTGGGAGGGCACAGCTTGCGTATCAGTAGGTGTAAAACCAACCAAAATGAAGAGCTCTTAATTAGGAATGTGGTAGATATTCAGTGGAGAAGGGGAATCTTGCAGGGGAGAGTGTTGGGAGGAATGAGTTCGAGCAGCAGCCATCTGATATCTGAGGGGATGCAGGCAAAACCACTCAGAAACGGGCAAAAGAGGGTTCAGGAGAGCCCCAGGATAGCTTGGGGTTCCCCAGGTAACCCTGCTCCCTGAGCTTTATTGTGAAATGATGTCCTTGGGTCGAGGTCTGGTTTGCGCGTCTGCGCACAAGAGCGTGTTGCCAGCGGGCTGCCGGAAAAGAAGGAACTTAACAAAATCTTAAAAACCCCCTAATATCAACCTCATTCTCCATCTGTGTTTAAATGATTAACGTGAGCCTTGCTCCGCTCTTGTTGGCTCCTGTGATTTAATTGTATTTATTGAATGGATGCAGCACTCTGGATTTTGACGTGCGTCAAGTTTTTCCCTTCACAGCTGGAAGATGTATTCTCCCTGCTCACCGTAGCATCGCCCATCGTAGGAGAGCTAGGAAGGAAATGACAGTGTCCTTTCATTGACTCTCTCTGGCTGAGTAGCTGATGAATTCAGCGTACTGCTGGCATCTTGTTTGTCTTTATCTTAAACGTTACCTTTTCTTCTTGAAGGCTAGCCAACACAAAAGTAACCGTGAAGGCTGCGTTTGCGGATGACTTTGACACCTCCAGGGCTGTTGCGGCAATTATGGACCTCATTCACCATGGCAACAGACAGCTTAAGGCTGTTACTAAGGTAACCCATTAGGATGCAGAGATCAGAAAATGACAGCTGTCCACTGTCCTACTGTTTAATGCAGACAGATTAGTTTATTGTTCACATAAGAAACCAGCAGAAACAAAGCTCCATAAATTGTTGACCTTAAGGGTGCCCGTTTGTCCTGACCACATCGCCGGGATTGTGTATGGCCGTTGTTTTGTGCCTTGTTGTGTCCAAAGGAGGTTTCTTTCCCGCTGCCCTGTATTATTTGTACCTAAGGTTTTATTTTTTTTGAAAGGCCTGAAGCCATTGTAGCATGCTGCTGATTTTACTGCTGGTTTTATGTTCTTTTCCTGCTTCTGTGCTTAATACCCATGCACAGAAATTGACCTAAATTGGGAAACGGTGGGTGGTGGTTGCGGTGGGGGCTTTGGCAGGCCGTCCCAAGTGCATGGGGCACTCATGGCGTGGAGTTCAGCTTTGGGGACTGAGTGGCTTTGTGCTGCTGGCAAATTATATCTGTGGCCTCAGCCAGCCTGCAGGAGTCTGTCTTCAGATGGCTTTTGGCAGATTGAGACCCAGTTAAGATCTCTTGATGCTGACACAAAGGGGGCAGCTGGTAAGGACAAGACATGAGCAGTAAACACAGACTGAAGCGCTTCTGGGTCTCCTCTTATCAGCAGCTCCCTTTCTCGCTCGAGATGATCAGCTCAGCCTTGTTGCTGTGCTACCTGATTGGTGGTGTCACCACATCCTCCACGTTTGTGCTCTAAAAGAAACATTGAGTACATAGTAATAACTGATTTTAAGAGAGAATTAGCCTGTCTGTTTAGAATTCCTGCCTCCTCCTGGTCCTGTTTTAGCACTTGCTTTAAATTCTATCCTTAGCCTTACCTTTATAAAATGACTCTCTTAAGCAAATCCCTGACCTGAACCAGTGTGCAGCAGGTATCTGTATCGGTGCTACCACTCCAAAATGCAAGTAGCCTCATTTTGCCAGTCAGTGCTTGTTTCCCCTGAATTCCTTTTGTCAGTTGTTTTTGTTGATAGTTGGGGGTGGGGGTGTATTATTTGTGGGGTAGCTGACTCAGATTTTTGGTTATGGTGGTGGAGCTTCTCCGGGCACAGCCCAGATGTCTGAGTGTTACCTCTTAATGACTGTGCACATAGTTCTTCTCCTTAAGAACTATGAGTAAATACACACAAGCTTATCTGCTCATTCCTTGCTTTAACCTTCTCACCATTCATACCTTAGTTGACACATTCCTGTTTCTTGACCTCAGCGGTCAGCTTCAGCTCCTTCCAGTTCAGATCTTTTGCAAATTTTAGGTTATGGCTTGTCTTGGGCCCTGTTTTTTTGTTTGTTTGTTTTTTTAGGCAAGGGTTGGTCCCTTAAATTGCTTCTCAGTCAATCATTTAGTCTTGATTTTAATTTTTTTTTGTATGAAATAAAGATGAAGGAAAGAAAGAAATACTTGTCTTCTTAAAAAACCACTATTGTCACTGCTGCTGTTTTTTTGCTGGTGCTACCAGGGCGTGACAAAATGCCATAAGCGATCTCAAAACAGTCCTCAGTGTTGCTTAAATCAATAAGACACTCAAAAAAATGATGTGGGTTTTTGTTTAGGTTTGATGATGTGGGTTTTTTTTTTCCAAAATCACTTATTCTTATAGGTGCCCTTGAAGCTGGGATTTTGTTTGTTTCATTTTCATACACACAGCCCTTTCATACTCAGAAGTACTATTTTTAGGTCTAATTTACTGCACACGTATTACGCACGGCAGCTTCACGCATCTCTTCTCCTTGCTGGGCATGTTGGTAACGAGCTGTTCCCCTCCCCCATTCGCTTAAGTCTGTTCCCTTTGTGTTTCAAGGTGCCTTTTCTACCTCTGTAAAAGTTCCCATCTGGGCAGGTGTTACTGGTGGAGGCAGATCTATGTAATTAATAAGAGTTTTTTCCCTTGTGGACTCTGCTACAGAGAGATGCAGAGTTCTGTGATATGTATTGACTGGGCCATCTCTTTTGAGTGTTTTTTAAACAGGATGCTGGATCTCCTAGAAGCTCAGTTGTGTATGGAAGCATTATCTCCTACATAGAAGGCTTTTTTAATGCCCTTGGGATGTCCTTTGGAGAAAGACAGGTATGAAACATCTCTCCTATGTGTGCTAGTGTATGGTAGCAGCATTATGTTTTATAAAGGCTTTCTGAAAGCCTTGGATGTAACAGTTATTTATGGTTTTAGTAAGGCTTTCTTGCACCACTTGCAGTTTCTGCCATGGTATCTTAAGAGAGCATGTGAGCAGGTGCAACAAAACGCGGACTTTTTTCTTCTCAGAAGTGTTCCCCTGTGACTTCTGCAGCAATTGTGCTGTGGGAATGAAAAGTCTGAAGAAAGAAAAAAGAAAAAGTTAACATTAAAAGCCTTAAGCTGTTATGTGTCTGGCTTTCCCCGACTCTTCGTCTTCCTGATGGTTGCACCCAGGCTGACTTTGATAGCCCTATGAATGTTTGAGGTTGTGACCTGCCTGCAGGGCAAGACCCGGAGTCCAGCTTCTCTGCGGAAACCGAGGGTGAGGGTTAAGGGGCTGCTCTGCCTCGAGCTGTGGTAGAGTTCAGGGAGGGCAGGGGAGGACACCCGTCACTAGAAATACTTTAAATATCCTCTAGTGCTTGGAAAGGTAGGAATGGGGAGAGGAAAATAAAGGAGAGAAAAGCTCAAAGTGAAGTATTGCAGAGGGAAGAGAGCGATAGATCTGGAGGTGATACCGTGATGTGTGGAAGGGGAGCATTTAAAGTGGCACAAGGTGTTGGGGACTAGCAGGCTGTTCTGTGCTCATCTCCTGCTCGAATCTGGAGCTGGACACCAAGAAGTTGAAAAATTTCTTTAGAGAAATTGTTCTGCAGAAAGTTCTTTTGGAGAGGTGGAGAAGAGGATAAGAAAATGTAAATAATGCTGTTTGTCCTTCACAAGTCAGGCAGTATAGTAGTAAATATGTTTTTTTTACTTTGCCTCTTTGTGGATTTTTCCACAGAATTTCTTTCAATGCAGCAGCTGGATGTGATTTGGTTGTGTGTTACTCCTCATAACCCATGGCTGGTCACGTTAACTTTTAGTGGCATACTAAACACCTCAATGTGTCTCTTAAGTTGGATGGCAAAGTCCTTCCTCCAGACCCTGGGCTGTCTGTAAACAGGTGCCTGCTGCACCTATATGTTTGCTGAAATGAGTATCTGAATGCTTTTTTCTTCTTTTTCTTTTTTTTTTTTTTTTGATACACTGTGCAGGGCAGCAGGGTGAGCAGAAGGCATTGATGCAGGGTAGGCAGGAAGAAAGGAGCAGCACGTCAGACTCTTCTCTGTCCCTCTCTGTTCTTTCAGCTTCCAGTGAATGAATCAATCAAAATCTTCATCAGAAAGGTCTGTGGGTTTCTGCAGGCGAGTAAATAAAACGGTGCAGGGATTGTTCTCTGACCTGGAGACCAGCCACAACAGCTCAGCATCCGATCTTTCTTAGCCATGTGGTCCCGGGCACACAGCTTCTTGTGAGCAGCCCCTCACCATGGTGGGTCCCAGCCCGTGGGCTGGCTGGGGGAGGGCTCTTTGGCCCGGCCACTGCTGTGGTTGCCGTTGGGTAACATAGAGGCTACAGGGAGCAGTGTTCAGGCCCTCTTTGTTTGGATGTTTGCATAGAGGCTGCAGGTCTGTCTTGCTCTTGGAGTGGGGTTGATCTCAGCTGATTAGCCTCACAGTCTGATGTGGCTGCTCTGGTAGTCAGTGGAGAGAGAGGCTTTGGCCACTAAGGGATGGTTCATCTTAGTCTGGTGGTGGTAGAAAAAAAAAAAAAGACCACCTGTCTCTCTCTGCATTAGCAAGAGAAGGAGCTTGGACAGCTGCAGGCAGGTAAGATGAACCTTTGTGCAAAGATGATGGGTGGAAGCCATCGTGCTTGTTTTAGAGCTGAGGAGCAAAGGTGAGGGCTTTAGCTCTGCTGACGCATGCTTCATTGTGGGTGCAGCCAGGGGATAAACGGGTGATCACCTGTGGGGTTGGCAGGGGCCAAATTTCTGTATAAAAATGGTTACAAGCTCTTTGGATTGGTTGGCACTCCATGAACAGGAGTTGGAGATCAGCCCTGAGAGACTGCGCTGTTTTCTGTGGAAATCAGGTCAGTTCATCTCCTAGAGTTGCCCCTCCTTTTTGGAGGATCTTGCCTTGTCTCATGTGTAGGTGCCTGGTTTGAATTTGGGCAGTGGTGTTTGTAGAGGCGTGTTTCTTGCTCCCCTTGTCATTTGTCTTTCCTCTCCCTTCTGTATTTAAACATTTATCCTGCTCTTTTACCTGCCCTAGGCTACAATGGAGCATTTCTGGCACTCTAGCTTTATTACCTTCTTCAGTCTCATGAACAACTTCTAAAGTATGTTTATGTGTTTGGGGAATTTGCTGCCTTCTGTGACTGTGGAGAGCATTGGGCATCTCACATTTTATCTCCAGTAGCTTCCCCCTCACCTCCTTCTCCTCCTCCTCCTCCTCCTCTTTGTTTGCCTCTGTCAGTGACCTCTGAAACCGCTCCCTTTCATTTCCATCCTGCTGTTCAGCGACTAAATACCGTCCCTTCTGGCTTTAATTACTCAGCTGCTCTTCTGCTCCCAGCCGAGTGTTGCTGCCAGCAGCTTCGCCCCCCGGCCTCGGTGTGCTTTACATGGCACTGCTCCCTTGTCTGCTCCCTCTCTTGTGTCTTAGTGATAAAATACTGCAGTAGTGTTTTCTTGCGTGCTGGAGGCTTGTCCTTCCCCCCCCCTTTAGAAGTCTGCATCTCATGAGGAACAGGGTGGTTTCTCTAGGACTGGGGAGTGTGGCTGTGCCAGGACCAAGGAGTCGCCTTTCCTCTCCTCCTAGCAGGCAGCTGGAGAACACCCAGTGGCTGCTGCGCGGTCGGGTCTTTTTGGGCGGCTGAATCTGCAGATAACGTGGATCAGATAAAAGTTCTGTGGATTTGGGGAGGTTTTCCATACATGCAAGAAGAAAGTGTAACCTAGAGATTTTCTTTTCCAATTTTGTGTTCTTTGAAGAGGGTCTGGAGCTCAAAGGCAGAGGAGGGGGCTGATAGGCACTCCAGCTCTGTGGACATTTACAGCTGAGGGGCTGTCTGAGCTGGTGGCTGGGCTCCCCTGGCCATGCTGGGGGGCTATTGCCAGGCCTTTCTTCCAATAATTTGTCTAATCCCTTTTAAATTTATGCACGCTTCTGGCATCTCCAAGGTTTCCTGTGGTGATGATCAGAACTGGGCCCAGTCCTATTCAACATCTTTATT